TTTCAAATGAAATCTTAAATTATAAAATTTCTAATTTACTATGATTGGTGAGGAAGAGCTTGTTTAATTGTGGCATTAATGATGAGAACAAAGGTAATATTTCAGAAAATCTTAAACAAGATAAACCATTGTCAGACAAGTCTTTTCTATCCAAAAAATAAATAAATCACAGTTACAAGAAAATACATTTGTTTTCCTAAGCAATACAGCATTATCGCTTTTTTATTTTTTTTTAACAGTGAGCAAAAGGCAGTAGACAAAAATCAACCTGTCAAGAAATGGTTTATTCAGTAATGGACTAGCACTGCAGGAGATTCGTTCCGCTTGCACCAGGAGAGCCCTTTGTGTACCAAGAACAAACTATTAAGGGTTTAATGACACTGCAATACCATATTAGACTCTGCAAAGGGGAACAAGGATTCTTTTTACTAACTTACTGTAGTTTCTACCACAATCACCATGGGATCTTCCAGCCACACAATCCTCAAAAGGGCAATTGGTTGGATGATGAGTTTTTCTGACTTTTGCCCTGCCTGGGACTCAGTTTTTCCTTTTTTGTTGCAAGATGTTGAAGAATCCAGCTTTTAGCAGAAGAAACTGGAAGTCACCTACTGGGGCAAGTCAACCCCAGGAACTGGACCATATTGGTCCTTGGAACTCCCTACTGCACACATAGGATCTCACACAGCTGTGGGAAGAGAGAATTTAGGAACCAGCTGCTCAAGACTTGTCTATTTTGCAGTTATTGTTGTCTCTACATGGTCAATGCTGTCTCCACACACTCAGTTGCCCACTTGTCTGTGCAAGGTGTGATGTTTTGTGGTTGGCACCTGCTGATAGAGTAATTATAGCATTAGTAAAAGCAAGCATGCCATCTAAGCTTGAAGAACAACACTAATTACAATCCCATCATTTCACTTCTTCCAAACTGTTTCTTTATTTCCTTTTATGCAGAGCTTACTTAGAGATTAAATTAAATCTGCTTCTATTTGAAAACAGGCCTTTAAATAGTTGTGGGACTAGAGGAAAAATTCACCTTTCAAAATAAAAATATATGCCAAGGTGAGCATTTTATATTTGTAATTCCTGACAGTCCTTGCTAAAACAAACTTATGGTAACTAAATCACCTTTCAGTAGTTCTCATTCTACTTTTCTGTGACTAGAATTCAAACAAATGATAGAAATAACAATGCTTCAAGAAGGTACATGAAATCCAGGTGGTAGAGATGAAGGCAAAGAAGTTATAAATTGTTTTCATGCCAACTACAGTTCAATAGAGTGTAAAGTAAAACATTAATATCCAGAATTTAATTTGACATGCAAAAACTCAAATTACAATAACTGCTATGGTAACATGACTAAAACAAACTGTTATGGTAACTAAAAAATATAATCTTGACCCAATCTGAAGAATAAATTTCAATGAATGAATAAATATGATTTAATTCATTTTCACTCTATCAGCACTATATAATTTGGGAGTATAATTTGAGTACTATAGAGTTCTTGATTAAAGCTCGCTTGCATTCTCAACCAAAAGGACTAAAACTAAGGAAAGAAGAAAATGAATTTTAAAAAATGGAGGGGGGAATTCTTTCATAGTACCAAGAATTTGCTAAACATCCAGGATTATGGTCAAGAATTTTATTTTGTTGTTGTTGTTGTTGTTTGTTTGTTTTGGGCCACATCCTGTAATGCTCAGAGCTTACTCCTGGCTCTGCACTGGGGAATCACTCCTGGAGATGCTCAGGGAATCATATGCAGAGTAGTATGTATACATGAAGCCCTTCCTGGTCCTTTGTTGTCCAGAACTTAAAAACATGCGTATGAAATGCCACCAATGACTTCAGAATAGCTGCCCCTTTTGACACCCATCACACCAAGTGGTGCTGCTTCTGACTGGTGTCAGAACAGAAGCAAACTCAAGACTCCTATGAGAGGGACACATCGTTCTATGGTGAGTCTACTAAGCACACTACTGAACACCTGGATACCATTTTATGGTGGCCTACTATGCTCTATAATGAACACCTGGATACCATTCCGTGGTGGACCTACTATGCTCTAGAGTGAACACCTGGATACCATTCCGTGGTGGACCTACTATGCTCTAGAGTGAACACCTGGATACTATTCTATACTGGGACTACCAAGCCCTATAGTGAACACCTGAATACCATTTTCTGTGAATTCAAGAAACAGTAGGAATTCTAATTTTTAAAATTTCTAACCAATGTATTAAAACCACGGGGCTGAGCTGATTTCTAAAATACTCTAAGAAAACCCAAACATACTTAGTGATAAGTAGAAAAATCTAACTTCTGAGTTTGATTCAAACAGATCTCCTATACACATCACATACAAAACCACTCTGCCTCGGATTACAAGGAAAAAGTACTTGTGTATCGTCAAAAACTGAGTAGCTCTCTCTAAACTGAAGAAAATTTCTCCCTTATCTATTATGATGTGTGTGTGGCTTGTAGTTAATGAAAATGGAAAAGGGAAATGCAATAATTCCACTGAGAACAGAGAAAATACTCTATCATTCCCAGGGGATAACTTTAAGTGGAAATGATTTCAAGACTCCAACAAAGGCCACATTAATAAAACAACTATCTAATCATTTTACATTCTCAAAAGAAGAAAGTTCATGAAAGCTACCATGTTTTATTATTAACCAAGAT